TCGACATGCGGTTTTTGTCATTTTATTAATATAATTTATTCTTCTTTTATAATCTGTAATTAAGCAAGCATACTTCAATTCAATTGTGCCCTCTAACTCTTTATATATGAAGGGTAATGGGAAACATAAACGATGTCTAAAAGCTAAGTATACAAGATTTACAAGTGTTAAAACGATTTTGTCTTCCAAATGCTAAAGAATTGTATGAAACATTGCTATACAAATGAAAAATCTCTAAGTAAGTTATAGGTATCGAAAATGGACATCGTTGGTTGGTTTTATCGACATAAGTTATTTGCGACATTAACGTGTTTTTATTTTTTATCAACTACAATCTAATAATCTTAAGTTCAAATTCTTTTGTTTACATATTAACAAAATAGCAATAAACTACTTTAAAATATTGGCATGCAGTTTTATTTATTTCTAAGATCGTAACAAGAGGTTTGGTAACGATAATTAACTTTTCTCTGTAAGTTACTTTTGTGATATCGTTTGTTTTTCCTTACCCTTCATATTAAATTTCTTCAAAATTGTAACTGATTGTTTCGTTATCGGAAAAGAGCTTTTTTGACAAAACCAAGTTTGGAAATATCGAAAAGAACCAGAGTTAGAGGCGTTTTTCTATAACACATTTCTCACCTCACTTATTTGAAGAGTGTTTTTGAAGAGACTAAAGTTTCTCAAATAAAATTCACCCAGAATTTTTGTGATTATTACGATCTTCGTATTTCCAGCGCTTTCTAATTTAGTAAATGTTCTAAAATATTGCTTTTTCTTCCGTTATTTAATTACGCCATCTAGCGATGAACCTGCAACTCTATAAATACTTTTCTAGTTTTTATCGAGACCACTTTTGTTATAAAACTTTTATTCCAACCCTTATTTTAAAACTTTATTATAATCCTTGCTCTATATACGGCCGAGGACCATTCTTAATTGGCCACCTGGTACATTCAAAACTTTATTTCACAAGCAAAGTAAATTCCGTATTTAAAATTGGTCATGATTACGATAAAAAATAATTTTTACTCTGCTACTGTGACCGATTGCTTCTGTGTACCGGTAACCACTGCGAATTTGATCAAAGAAGTAATCTTTAATTGGACGGATGAGTTTTAGATAAATTAAATTGTGGAATTGAATACTATTGATACCATTGTTGTTGAATAGGACAGTAACTTTGCAGCTAGACTTTGTTTCTTAACTTCAGTAAAAACTAGTATTTAGTATTATTTTCTGAAACATTTTTTTTATCATCTTAACCTATTAGTACTCTACCTTTCTGTCTTGCGATGTTCTTAGTTAGAAATAGCTTTTCACTTCTTAATTAATCTTATTTACAATTTTGTTGCATTGCTTCATTATGTTTTGTGTTATTAAGCGATAGTTTAGACCAAAGATTCATCTTTGGCGCTGATGGCATATACCAATACTTTTTTGCCTTCAACAAAGCTTAGCTGAAAACTTATTGCGTTTGCTACTTTTAAAAAATGTGTGTTACGCTATTTTTTATGAGGTTTTATATTAAATGTAGGAAGGCGATGATAAAAACACCCAAATAATAATAATAATAATTATTAAAATTTTTATGTATGTATAAATATGTAAAATAACTTTATTTACTACGATGAGAATCTTTTTTAATTATAATAAACATTAAAAATAATAAATGAATGTTTATTATAATAAAATTTTTATTGTGATAAAAACCTGGATGTAACGTCACGCAATCATCTTTTGAGTTTATTGTGATTCCAAACAAACCGAACTAAATGTGTGATTAGTTATTTCCATTGAACTGTTACATTTTTTTAGGTGTATTTTTCAGATGACGTAATTTTATTTTTCTGATACTTACGTTACTTTATCGTGTTCGGACATGTCATTCATAAAATTTCGGCCCAGTATCGGGCTACATTGGTTCCATCTTTGTTGGCGAGCCACAAATTTTCGAGGGTACATCGATGACGACAGTTTCTGCATGTAAGATGTTCAATATTCTGTGTTTCTCCACAGTCACACTTTACATCATCTTGATCTATTTTTCCCCATTTTGCCATGTTTGATTTTACTGGAGAGACCCCCGTTCTTATCCTATTCATGGTTTTCCACGCTTTAAAGTCTAGGGACTGGCTGGTCCATTGAACTTGGGGAAGAGGAAAATAAGCTTTTCCTGTGTTGAGAGTTTTACAAAACCCGCTGCTTTATATAGATTTGGGAGTGGCGTTGGTTTCATGCACCCCGTTACTATCCACGCAGATCTGCCTCAAACGGGGCACGCATATTCAACAGTTGAGAAACAGTGCTAGTGCCGTTGTTCTTAAAACGCCAGGACGTGCACCCCATTTACTTCCCGTTAGCTTTCTGAGTATAATGTTCCTAGTTGTTACTTTCCCTCTCGTTTTTATGCAATGTTGTCTGTAGGTGAGGGACCGGTTTAGAGTTAATCCAAGATATATAGGTTGGTTTGTTCTAATGTATTACCATTTCACGCAATTTGGAGTTTTCGCTTGGCTTTCTTTGTGCGAAGGTAGAAAGCGCAGACTTGGGTTTTAGAGGGATTGGGTCTCAGAGAATTCTGCAGGTAGTACGTTGTCATTGTTTTAAGACAGTTTCAAGTTTCTCCCCCACTTCTTCAAGACTATTTCCGTGAGCACATATTGCAAGATCGTCAGCATAGAGGAAGTGCTTGGTTTCGGTCGGCGTAGGTTGGTCGTTGGTGTGTATATTGAAGAGCATTAGTGCTAAAACAGTTCCCTGTGGGAGGCAGTTCTTTTGAACTCTTCACCTACTTACTTTACCCTCCAAGATAACCAAAAAACGTCTGTTTTGCAGTAAGGAATATACGATCAAACCCAGATGGTGGTCATTGAGAGTGTCATATAATTTGCGGAGCAATGTTTTGTGCCTTACTGTGTCATAGGCTGCTGTCAAAACTACGAAAGCAGCGGAGACTTGCTCTGTTAGTGCGAGGACTTGACAGGTGCAAGATTTGCCGGGTCTGAATCCTCCTTCTGGTGAATATGAGTCTCTTGTATAGTTTGAAAACGTGACACAATAGCGAAATATGTCTGTAGCTACTGGGATTTTCTGGGCCCTTTTCTGGTTTTAAACAAGGCTATTACTTTCGATTTTCTTTATGATTTTGGAATTTCACAGGCTTTGCAGCACGTGTTATAAAGTGGCAAGATCCAGTTTTTTGCTCCTTGGCCTAGATGCTTTATGTTCACTGCATATATCATCCACACCTGCAACTTTTCCCCTTTTTTAACCAGTTCATACCGTCGTGGAGTTCTTTTAGTGTAAAATTAGTTCCTAGGTGGTTTATCTCCGAATCCAATCTTCTAGTATTTGGGTCCTTATATCGGTTCGTAGTTCTTCCATTCATAATGAGTTGATTAGCGACTTGATTTGCTGTAACCTTGCAAGGTAGTTTATGTTCTTTTTTATCACCGCTGTGTTTTTTACAAGGTTCCATGCTATTTTGCTACTATGTGTCATGTCCATTTTTTTCGAGGGTCTCAATCCACTTTTCCTGTCTGGCTTGACTTAGCTGTTGGAGTAGTCAACCGTTTCTTGGCTAAAAGGGTCAGTGGAATAGAGGGTTTCGTATGTTCTCATTAGTTCTTTGAACTTGCTGGACATCCCGGGAACATATTGTTGTCTACATCCTCAGGGGATAGCTTTTCTAGACACATTTTTGAGTACTTCTACAAATTTTTCGTAGGTCTCTCCTTTTGGTTCAAGACGTAGCAGCTCAGAATCTAGCATGTCTGCATACTTTTTCCAGTTTGCCTTTTTGAAGTTAAATCTTCGTCTGAATGGAATAGCTTGTGAAATGACAATTGGAAAGATGTTTATACGAATTGGTCTATGCTGAGTTTTTGGTATGGAGCCACATACTACTTTGGTACATCGGTCTTCGAGGTTATTACTCGAAAAACATATCTGGGTTATATCCTCGTTTCCAAACTTTTCTCTGAAAAGATGGTGGAGGTTTAGGATCATGGATTAACGTGAGGCCACTCATTTCGGCCCATGCTTCCACTGCGTCTCTATTTGCATCCGAATCTGCATAGCCCCAAAATAAACTGTGACTGTTAAAGTCTCCCAGTAAAAGCTGATTGGGTTGTGATTGAAAGTTAGTTGGGGTGAAAATATAAAAGGCTGGTTTGGGGGCTTGTGTACCGAGGTTATTGTGCATTTTTCGATCTCAGTAGTTATTATCTCTATACCGTGTATATTTGCTGTTCCCACAGATGAGACTATGGTTTGAGTTCTCACAAATACCGCGCTCCTATGCTTATTGTGTGGTATTTTGATCAAATTTTTTTTGGGCCTTATAAATTTTTTCTGGTCATATTATGATAAACTGACATGAAACCAATATTATACAGTTTAAAATTTTTTTTTAATTTAATTAATTTATCTGGGTTTTATAGGGCTTCGAAGTTGACAGGATTCTTGAATACTCGTAAAAATACGATAAAACGAATCATTAGGCTTAGTTTTCTATTATAGATTTGTTTATTCATATAATTTATCATTTTCTTAACATTCCTATGTTGTAGTGTCTGGAGGCGTGTTTTTAAATGTGGTATCCGCAGTAGGCCTACAGCGGTTGATGAAATGTCACAAATGCACGTTTTTTTATTGAAATCTTATTGATGCCATATCACTTATTTTAATAGTACTATTAAAAAATATTTAAATAGATTTTGGAATAGGGACTTGGGGAAAATTTTGTACTGAAGTATAATATTAAATTGGTATTTCTTTTACTTACTTTTTAATCTTATTACGGTAGAAACGTTGGCCACTCAGTGTCCTTTAATTTGAATGTCTTGCTTTGCAAAATTAGCAGGACAAAATCACTTTTGGAACATACAAAAGGGTTCACAAGTTCGTAGATTGTATTATAAACTATGATAAATGTTAGTAGATGACGTATTAATTCGCGCATCTTACAGTTCCTAATGAATCTATCTAAATTTCAGAGGTACCAAACACATGTTGAGCTGGCAAAACTTCAGAAGATTCTACCTGTACGTTATGACTGAAAACTTGAAGAACACCATCTTAAGACATCGCAAAATGTTGCTTTCCGAGGAATTGAAGAAACGCTTTAACTTGAACGAACACGAAATCGTATCTGCAGCTACATTGCCAGAATTAGACGAAGCGTATGCCAGAAGAGTACATCAATTTAAATCTATATCCGAATACTACAACTGGAGCTCGAGTAAAAACTATTTTGAGCAAATCAAGGTTCCTATGATCTTTATTAATGCTATGGATGATCCTATTGTACCGCCTCCATTATTAGATCCAGTTAAGAAATTAGCAAGTAAGTTAGCTACTGTTTTTATAATAAAACAAATGCAATTAAAGATGTATTTTACAACGAAGACTGTAGTAAGTCATTTTAGATAGTTTTGAGAAAATTAATTTACAAGTATAAGCATATAACACACCTTTTATAGGTATGTTTATTTAAATGCAGTTCCCAAAATGTTTCACCAAAAAATTATAAAAAATTCTACAACTTTTGATTGTATAAGTGCGTTCTAATTCACGATTCATTTTTCAGAGTCTTTTGAGGTTATGTAGTAAAAACATGGAGAAAACGGGGTTTTTGGGTTTTTGAGAATGTTGTGAGATAAAACTAATGCTTTGAATAGATAATTTTAATTGTAGAGGGAAAGATACATGTGAAAATGTAAATTACCATTCATTTAGACACTGAATTTAGAGGTTATATAGCGAAAGCTTGAAAACAACGAAGAAAAAACGGGGTTTTTCGGGTTTTGGAGCATGCTGTTGGAAAAAAGTAATAGTTTTAATAGCTTATTTCGATTGTAAAGCTAAGAATACATGTAGAAATATGAATTATCATTAATTTAGGTGTATGTTGTTAAGGTTATGAGTCAAAAACTTCAAAAAAAAAATGAAAATGATAGTAATACCTATCTCATTCGAAAGAACGGCGAAAAACCCATAAAAATCATTGTTTTAAAGTTGGCCAAAAATTTCCGACATAACCTAAAATATCACTGAAAATTTCAAATATTTTTCCTAGGCTCAATTTTCAATCTAAAAATCTGAAAAAAATCAGGCAGTTTTGGATTATTAAAATACGCTTTCATGAATTTTTTCAGATTTTTGCAGCAATACAGCGTCTAAAAAAATGTTTTTTAATATGTTTTTTCCCATAGCGAACCCCCAGATGCACCTGGGGAAAATTTAACTGGGTGAGTTTTTAATTATATCCTTTCGAATGGCCGGACCCAAAATTGAATCGAGCATGGTGCAATTTTGACCATCTTATGCCGCTATAGCCTTTCAGAAAATACATAGGATACATTTATTTTTACTCAAGTCATCTTATTTAGATTCTCTGCTACTAGAACGTTTAGAGTCTTGATGTATATCATTCTTCGTCTGTGTCCGCTCCTTTGACCGTAAAGAAAAAAAGAAGTTATGGTACAAACGCGGTATTGAAGGTGGATCACCTCTGCAAAGCTCTAATAAACCTTTTAATTTCTTCCTATCAACAGATAAAGAAGTATAAAGTTTCGGAAACTCAGTGGAATGAGTTTGAAGTTGACTACACCTACTTTTTTTTAGACATAGAATTCTTGGGGTTTCTGCAAAATCGTATTTAAATTAAACTGTCTTAGTTCTGGTAGCCATGACAATTTCCGCATTTGATTATTTTTACTGGATTCATTCTCCTGTTCTGATTTTTTACCATGTCAGAAAATTTTACAAAGTCTGCTTGGGACACTTCCGTTACCGTGTAGGGTTGGCCATTTACTTTCGCCATTTTTAGTAATGTGATCCATTGACTGGGGGTATAGACAGCACCCTGTCGCTTTTTAGCTATCTCTATTTCTGCATTCATACTATTTCCTTAACGCAACACATAAAGTCTTTTATTTTTCTTGCAATTTCAATTTTATGTCATTATCAGCATCTGTATAACCCGTGCATAGTTGACACTAATCCTTTTTTTTCGTTTAAAGAATGCTGTATTGAATTCTGAGTTAAAAATTTCACGATATTGCCGTTCACTTGCCAGCTGTACTGAATTGGTTCCAATATGCTCTTTGTACACTCTGTACATTTTACTAATATTTAAACCATCTTCCAAATACATTTTCTTTGAATGTTTTCTATTATAATGGAAAATAACTAATGGAAAGAAGTTCATATGAGTTCTCACACTTTCTTTAATATATTCTGCAATTTTATTGGGTCTGACAGTATGGAGTCCCCCTTTTCTAAAGTGCCACCTTCTCCAATTTTTTAGAGCGTGTTTAAAAACATTGTTTTACAAATTTTTATTCTTTTATTATCAAGCAGAAAATTATATTCTCGAGAAAAATTGCGCCTTGATTCAGTTTTTTTTATTATCTGTTTCTTTTCTCTTTGATGAACACATTTTCTAATGAAATCCCATTGTCTGGTATGATCTGCTAGTCCCCAATAATTTTCAAATATTTTTGCCTCTTATTTTCCGAAATTTTTTCCGTGCATTCATTTCTGCACTTCTCGTTGCATGGCGCTTTCATGATCCTAGATGGAATTACTTTGCCTGCTCTATTTTCATGTTATTTCCTACATTAAGTTCTTTTTTAGCCTTATTGTCTTTCCACTCCTGTTGATTTCTTACACGCTTTCTTCCTTTTGTGTTTGTCATTGCCATTTGTCTTTTTAGTTAAGGTTTATTACTACTATGTTGTTTTTCACCTTCTGATTCAGCATTATCAACAGTAGGAACATAATGTGGATCCTCATCACAACAGTCAGAATTTTTGATATCATGATAGTTGAAAGGATATTGCTTCTCTAAAATACCTTTAATTCTATTCATATTTTAAACTTCAAACACTCTTCACACAAAGCTCAAGCAAATATGTATGTAGGTTTCCAAATCCTCAAAAAGTTATTCACGAAAATGCAAACAAGTCAATAGTAACTCAAAGAAGACACGGCACTATCTAGACATTTTGCAAAGAAAATGAATGAGAAGAAATGAAAAGAAGATTACATTAACTCAACTTAATGCAATTATCGTTGAAAATGTGGTAGGTTATTTGAGATACTGAATAAAACTGAATTGTATATTTTAAGTTGCCTATACATCTGCTAGAGATACCAAAATATTCTATGTTACAGCTACATATAGAATAATTTAGAAGAAGGTAGCAGCTCAAATTATACAAAAATTGAGTTACTACAGTTTTCGTTGCATGAGTCGATAACACCTCACTCATTAAATCTTGAGTCTAACTAAAAGAAGAACAAATCGCACATCGGCAGCAACACTGTCACAAGTCGAAATTCAGTGTATTTTTTATGTTTGGTGATTAAATGGATATTTTGTTAAACTTTCGTCATCATCACTGTCGAAAAGATATTTTGTCACGTAAGCGGTAGATGGCGACTTGTGTCTATTATAGCCATAACTATTTTTGTAGAACTCTATTCAGCAACAGTGTAACAACTCACTTAAGACAGTGTTGCAGTAATATTTAGATATAATTTTTTTCACATTAAGTACGCTATACTACTATAAATGTCACGCATTTACATTTATGATTTGCAAAATGGCTGAAAGGCTAACCATCGGCATTTAAGTGTAAACTCCACAACTTACTTTAGTAACCATTTTTGGCATTTAGGAAATGCCACAACAAACGGCTTCAGAGCTATACACAAATATATTATAATAACTAAAAACATACTATGGTAATACTATCTAAAAATTATTTATGTCATAGTTTACATTTTTATACGTTTTTATTATATTTTAGTGGAAAAAGAGAAGACTGCATACATCGAGGTCTCCCACGGAGGTCACTTGGGCTTCTACGAAGGCGGCCTCATCTATCCGAATCCAGTAACATGGCTCGACAGATCTCTGGTAGCTCTAGTCGGTTGTCTAACTCTCACAGCAGACGAACTGGCTATGAAATCGCGTGCAATGTTAGAAATATGATAAATATAACAAATATGTAACGATATTTGTGGCTTGCATGCAACTATTTGTCCTCAAGATGATGTTTGACATCAGAGCTTTAACCATTTTGACAGTTTATACACTTAATATTATTGTTTTAGTACGTGGGTCTAAATCTGGACTTTTTACTGTTGACATTGAGCACAAAAGTCCTTTTAAAAAACAGATTGTACCAAATGTATAATTTTTTTTATTGTGCATTGGTAGTATGTTTGGAAAAGTGATCATCAACATAAATATTTCTTGCGGTTAATTCAAAACTAACAGTGAAATCTGGTGATAAAGATATCAAGACTCAAGACTACTCTTCTTAGTTAGTTTTGTCGTGTTGATTTGTTATTTTTGTATGTTATTAGTTGTTCCAGATCTGTTAATTTGTTAATTGAGAATAGTGTTCCTTATTTTAATTTCCTTTACAGAAATGGGCAAGAGTATAATCAAGAAACATATTTTCATTGATTAATATAAAAGAATAACTCATGAGTGTATCATTAAAATGATTCTGCTTGCTTCGGTAATAGCTTATCTTCGTATGTTATAAAAAATTACAGCGTATAGAATTATTATCAAAAACAATGTTTCTTGAATTGTATAAGAATACTTGTGGCTAATAAACCGTATCTATGATTTGTATGGTTTTCTAAGAGATTTGTAACATTTTTTTTCCTGAATACATGATATCCTAATGAAAAAGGTAAGTGGATAAAAATAATTGGAGTTGTATCATACTATTCATAATTGGATTTATGTATTTTCAACACGAATCAGAAATATGTATAATTTTCGTTATTGTTATCAGAGGTATTTAAGCTGAATGGTCAATGCTTTAACACAAACATCAGACTATTAAGAAATTGAAGTATGTACATATATATTATTTCTGAAGGAATTTGTGATCATCTAGCAGTTTTAGTTCCATTTAATTGATGTAGATAGTATTATGAATACAGGAAAGGTTCGTACGCGTTTCGACGAAGTTCCATCTGTCATTTTCGATACGATGGAGTTAAACTTTGTGTGGATACCAAAGGCTTTTCCCAGTTAGTCAAAATTATTTTATTTTGTCTCGGTTTAAAAAAATAAAACTATACGAATGGGGTAATAGGTGTACAGGGTCGACTTCTGCATTCAGGGTGAGATTTTTTCTTGTGAACTTCTGTCATCCCATTACTTACTCCGCGGTCTAGTGCGCATTCAGATGCGCATTGCCCCGCTTCGAAATCCTTCCAATTGACCTACAAAAAATTTCTAATATTATGTATAAATCTGGGGCGATTTTCGGCTCAGGTTAGTCAGTCGTTCACCTTTCTGGGAGAGACTCCTGCTGTGGGTTTGCTCCCTCTTCACCTTCAAGACTCTGCGACTGCTGTTTTACAACTTTAACTGGTTTAAATGGATGTAACCAACTGTTTGGATGTAACCAAAACATCCATAGTCCATAGCCAAAGTTGACTTAAACAGAGGATACTTCGGCTGCGACGGTCGAAACTCTCTGCAAAGCGTACAAGGCATAGCCAGCTATATCGACGCCCTTTTGGTGACGAGACTACATTTCGATGTTGGTTTTTTACATCTTTAAAGAGAAGGAGGAAAATCTGCATACAGACACCTGTGACTCAGTCAGGTAGTGGTGGGTTCCTAATATCCTAATGAACTTGTGCCAGGACGAGATGCCCGAGGGAGGGACCACTCCAAACGATCGGCGTCCAACTAAAAACCTCTCGTCTGTCACTCCAGACATCGGGATGGAAGGGCTGGTTAATGCAAAACATCTCTCCTGATGCCCTGCTATCACACTATTCCCATTCTTTCTCCCACACATTCATCGGGAAACCACACCCATACGAACTACCAAATGCTTTCAACCCCCTGTCTTAGCGAGGCTGCTATATCTCTCGCGTCGTCTGTCTCTCATTGGCTTCTATTTCGGCCTGCGACAGTCCCGAGGTGCTACTCGTGCGTTCGAAAATTCTTGTGCGAGTTTCCTCTCCTCTCGTTCTTTTGAAGAGAGAAGCTCCCTGATAAATTTGTGGATCCGTGTCCATTACCGCTCACCCCTTATTATTTTCTCCACCATTTCTCTCACTGGTATTTTTGACTAGTGATTTCTATGTTGTGTGAAGAGGTAAGGTGTCTTCTTTACTATAGAGGCTTCCTTGTGCTTCTTTTATTGTTCTCGTTTTTTAGTGTGGCAGTATACTTATATCTTGGTTGTTACTTCTGATGCACCCCACAAGTTACTCATTAACTGTTTAGTCTACCTTTCTTAAAATCCTAAGAAGAAAAAAATACTGAGAAATTATTCGAAAAACAAATGCGCCACTATATACACTACCTTGCTATTATCTGCTCATTTGAAGAGTATATTCAGGTTCAAATGTTATATAAAGTTAAACAATTTGTTATAATCTTCTTGTCTTGTTTTGTGCGCCTTTATTTTTCTATAAAAATAAAATCTGTATATCAAAAATGTAATTCATACAATAGTAATGATGATTGAAAGGTTATCCCAAGGCGGTATGAATAGGGGGAAAATTTTATGCTTGGCAACAAAATTCCAACTAAACTTTGTAGGTTTGCTAACAGATGGCGCCAGTGTTTAATATAATATAAATAATTTTCAATATATAAATAAATTATAAAGGGTTTCACCCCTGAGGTTTTATGAGGATTAGTTTCATATCGTGTAAATCAGATTTTATTTTTTCGCTGATAGGCAGGGGACGCAACTTGTAAATTATTTTATAGGATAATGCTTTTATTTCATTTGATAAACGCTTATCTAAGATTTTACTAAAGACATTTAAAAGTCACTAAAATGCTTTATAACTTATCCTAAAGTTAAATAGGAAATCGATTGCTGTCAAGTCACTTTAAAATTCTGAACTGTTTTTATCTTGACCTGCTGCTGGATTGTCTGTTTTTTCTGAGGTGTGTTGCTTAGAATGATTGGTTTTGTGAACTGGTCCACTTTGGCTCTCGTTTTGTAGGTTGAATATTTCGACACTCATAATAAATTGGATAATTTATATATAAATTATATTTTATATATAAACTATAATTTTAATACTAGTTCATCTTAACTGTTGGTCTCTGACTTTCCGTGAGCATTCTTCTAGTATTTTTAGTTTTTCTCCCGTGAAATCCTATGTTATATATAGCTTTTCTTAAGTTCTCGTAGGAAACAGTGTAGTTATTTTCTTCGTATGTGGATATTAACAGATAATTAGCTATATCAATAGACGAAACAATCATTGATCAAGATCTTCCAATTTAGTTGTAGGTGCGAATTTTGATCTTGCTTTATTAAGCATCGAAAAATCAGGGGATATATTTCATTTCCATTACGATTCTCTGTATAATACTATTTAAACTTGTGCCAGGTGTAGAAGTTTATTTTCTGTAGCATAATTTCGTTGCATGAATGAAAATCTCATTTAGGCCGTCCGCACATGGGTTGACGTTCGAACTCGATTTCAATCGCGTAGGTCTCTTCCCACCGCCCAAGTTCCTTCGTTGTTGCATTGAGCTTCGTAGACGGGGCGTTTAGTGTACACCTACATTGGAACCGTATTTCTCCCGATCCGATATCGGGCGACGTCGGATTGAAAACAAACTCAAGGTATTAAATCATACTGCCTACGCTGCTTCGTCATGAAAGCAGTATAGGCACTATGATTTAATACCTTGAGTTTGTTTTCAATCCGACGTCGCCCGATATCGGATCGGGAGAAATACGGTTCCAATGTAGGTGTACACTTAGTGGTCGTCTAGAATTGGAAATTTCCTCGTCTTGTACGATTCTCGTCACTTGCGATCGGTAGCGCACGAGAAAGTTCGAATGAGACGCACGTTTTCAGTCATGGGGATAAGATTATTGTATTTGCTTTCTTCGTTTTTTATTGTTTTTTGCCCTAAAATATTTTTTTAAGATCGACGAATATTATATTCGTTGTTTGTAGTACTACTAGCTTTCTAGAAATATATTGTTTGTAATATAAAATTCTGAAAATATTGAATTTCTGTTTCTAGGTGTTTAATATAAAATTCGTTGGGGAACTGTAAAAATACTCTCAATTGTATAATTATACAATGAAAGAATATGCCAATATGGATATATAAAAATGCGTTCTTCCTGGTTGGCAGATGTGAGCAAACAGCAAACTGAATCGACTAGCGTACGGTGAACAATCGCTCGTGTAGTAGGATTCGTATAAGACGAGCACGACGCATGAAACGCGTGCTTTCGATTAACCCATGTGCGGACGGCCTAAACGTTACTTTCCTCGTTTGATTGGACACCACTTTGCCACTTACCTTTCTTCTTCTTCATGTACCATGTCCTTTCAGAACGTTGGTTACCATCATAGCTATTTTAATTTTATTCACTGCCACCCTAAATAGCATGCTTGTATCTACACCATACCAATCTCGCAAGTTCTTCAACCATGAGGTTCTTCTTCGTCATGGACTGCGTTTGCCTGCTATTTTTCCTTGCATGATATTTTGTAGCAATCTATATTTGGGACCTCTCATTACATGTCCGAAATATTCCAGCTTTCTCTGCTTGATGCTTTTTATGATCCCTTACCTTTGATGTTAATTAAATTCTAGTTATATGTTCTTGTACTAAAGACTGTGCACCGTTATTAGTAGTTTTCAAGTCAAATTTAATAGACAAATCTCGTCATTGTTGTATCCAGCGCATATAGAATTCATTCCAAAAGAGAGTTAGTCATTTTTTTCTACATTTGACAAACTATCTTATATACTAAAAGGCTAATCCCTTTTCTTGTGCGCACTACTCCTCCTAAACGGTGATAGATAGGAGAATAATTTTTTCGAATAATTAAACAGATTGTTGAGTAGATTCCCCCTAAGGTTTCAAATTTAAAAAATTCGAACCGGTTTAAAAATGGCGGCCATAAAATGAATTTTTCCTATAGTAAACTATAGGAATTTTACAGGTTTTATTCTTCAAAATTTACAGTCCTAATTTTCAATGTATTTTTAAAATATGACCGCGTCTACTTTTTTCTTATACTTACTGATTGAATTCAGAATTATGAAACCGGAAGTATTTACTTCCCTACTTCCGGATTTAGTTTTGAAAATTATGGTTTCTTTCACGGTGTTCCAGAGCATATGGACGGGGCCGCGAGTTCTCAAACCGAGTTCTTTTTCTTAAACATGGCATTTTACAATCTAAAATATGCAAAAAAAAAGTTACTTCCGGTTTTACTTCCGTTTTTTATTTAAGAGGGGTGGTATTTAAGAGGGTTAAGAGGTCTAACAATCATATTGTTTCCGTTTCCTAATGTAAATCTTCCCGAAAATCCTAAAAAACTACTGTATCGATTTTCAATTTAAAAAAAATTGGCGTCGATACAGTTTATTTTTAGGATTTTTGGAACATTTACACCAGGCGACGGAAACGATGGATCGTTAGACTACGCCCCTCTTATATATCAGCAAAACTTACATCAAAACTCGATGTCGAGTTGGTCCGCTAGTAGCATTGTATTTTACATCAGGAATTATTTTAATCATGACTACGTTATTCCATTTAACTTTTTTAAAAGGATTATATCACTAGAGTTAGTGATAAGAATGTGTATATCTTAAA